TCCTTCCCTTGCGCGCTCGCACAAGAGCCCTGCGGGGTAGGCCGCTTGCGCCTGAAAGGGCAAGGCGGAGGCCGAGTGACCTCCAGCCCGGCTGCTCGAGGGGATTATCAGTTGGGCTGGGCAGCCAAGCCGGGAGGCCGATCCAAGTCCTCGGGCAGCTGCAAAGAGGGCAGGAATGCTGAGGTGCTGTGGATGAGACGAAGGCGCTCTGCACCAGCCCAGAGGCAGCTCCTTGATGCTGACATCTGCTGTGGCTCAGCTGGAGCCGAGACCGACCCACACCCCTTTTCCGAGCCCCCACCCCCCCACGCCGGCCATGCCAAACTGGCTTTACCAGCTCTCATGTCCCCACCCAGTGGAAGCAGGCAGCCCTGGAAAGGGACACCCGGCCCCCTCCTGACCCAGGCCAGGCGCCAGCCTCCCTTCTGCCGCCCCTGCGCCCCCAGTGCTCTTTCCAGTCCCCAGTTCACTGCGGCCGTCTTGCAGAGTTTCCATCTTGGCTGAGATAAGAAGGAGGCGCCCAGAGTCCCTTTTAATCCCCCACCTTTTCCGTGTTTGTAAACTGCTTGGAAAAATAAGTAATAAGACAATAATAAAAGTAGAGGGGTTTTTTTAGTACAGGGTGCAGGTGAATGTCTTGCCGAGCAGATTCCTCCTCTTTGGCTGTGCTGTGCCTTGCCAAAAGTTACTGAGGGCAGTGTGGGGAAAAATCCTTTTGCTCCCTGTGGGTCTGTACCCCACAAGTGTCAGAGGTCACCTGTTGAAATGGCAAGAAATCTGCCTTCACTGAGCACTGTCTCTTCAATGGAAACCGATGGAGGTTACTTTTTCAAGTTCAAAAAAGGAAAAAGTCCTCACGATTGTGGGATAACACAACTCCTTTTTGCTTCAGGACCTGAAGTGTGGTAATTGAGCTAACAATCTGAGAAACACCAATGACAGGCCACCTGCTGATTAGCCTGTACCTGCATCACACCTTTGCTGTCTGTGCTTCCCTTCAAGGAGATCATCAGAGCTTTTCTGGGAAATCTTGCACGTGGATCCCCCATCCTCTGCCCTCTTTCTTCCCCACAGCCCCTTCAGTTTACCCTAAGCTCTTTGCTGAGAAGGTCCACTCCATGGTCAATGTGATGTTCTGAACAGAGCATTAAAGTTGCACTGGGGAGCACTGGGTTCACATCTCCCCCCAGCCACCAAATGTTGACTTGAGAGCTTATGGGCCCTTCTGCAGACTGTTTTTGTGGGTCACCTGGCAGAACGATTTCCTTTTGTTAAGCGTTTTCTGGATCCTGTTCTGAAATGAAAAGTTGGTGCTTCATGTGGCTTTCGACTGTTTCTTCAGACAACCTAAAACACCTGGTGGAATCTCCTGCCTTTGAAGATGGCCCGAGTGGTCTGGCAAAGGGGCTGGCAAAAGAGGCGAGCGAGGAGGACCTTCGGCGCTGCCAGACTCGTTGGCTAAATGGCACCTTCAGTTCCGGGGGGAGCAGACTGTGAGTACCTAGTTCTGGGAGAAGCGGCGAAGGAGTTCCTGTCTCTCTGCCCCACTTGGGGAGTTTGGGAAAAGGTCGCTAAACTCATTGGCCAGCCCCAGCGGAAGAGGATGCTGAGAATTCGGCTCCCTCCCAGCGGAAGAGCACCTGCCCTTTTCCCGGGGTCTGGAGAGGGCCTGGCTCGGCATCCGTCCCCTTGTGCCTTTGTTGTGGACCTTTTCCTCATGCAAAGCTGCCTTCTTTCCCCAGCTGTTTGGTCTCCCTTAGCAGCCAACTGCCCCGTGCCCCACCCCAGTGAACACGGAGAGGGACTGGCAGCGATTCTGTCCGCGGGGGAGGAGGGGCGGTGGCAGCG